ACTCATTTTTTCTTGCCTTATTTACTCAGAATTCTAGCTCAATGCTGAACAGAAGTCATCATATTGAGAACTGTTGTCCTTATCTGGATCTCAAGGGGAAAATGTTCACTACTTCACCATTAAATATGGTAGTTTACTTCAGGATTTTTGTGGATACCATTTGTCAGATTAAGGAAATTTTTTTCAAATACTGATTTTGTAGGGATCTCTCCTTATGGGTAGATATTAAACTTTATCAAATGCTTTTTCTATATCTATTGAGACAGTTACATAGTTTCCCTTTTCCTTCTCTTACAATGGTAAGTTTAATTAATTTTCAAAGCTTAAACCAACTTTGCATTCCTGAAATAAACCCACTTTTTCATGATATACTATTCCCAAAGAACCCATGTATCAAAGAAGATCACGTTGGAAATCAGAATATATTTTGTACTGAGTGATAATGAAGGTATGATATATATCATGAATATGATATCTGTATGCTATATTTTAGTGTCTATCCTAGATTCCATATGCATATCCTTGATTTAATAAAGTCTAATGTTAATTGTTACTTTTGCAACTTATTGGAAAAGTCGTGACATTCTGAGTACTTTAACTCCACTTACTCCCCTCCCAACTTTTGTGCTATTGCTGTTGTTATGGGTTAAATTGTGTCCCTGCCAAAATATAGTTTGAAGTCTTAACCCTTTGAAACAGTGAAAGTGACCTTATTTGGAAATTGGGTCTTTGCAGATGTAATCCACTTAAGATGAGGTCACACTAAATTAGAGGGGGGCCTCCTAATTCAGTGACTGGCATTCTTATAAAAGAGGGAAATATGGAAACACACAGAGGAGGAAATACCGTGTGGAGATGGAGGTAGAGATTACAGCGATGCATCTACAAACCAAGAAACACTAAGGAATGCCAGCAATGGCCAGAAACTAGGAAGAGGCCAGAAAGGATAATTCCCTAGAGCCCTTAGCAAGAAGGGGGCCCCCTTACACCTTGATTTCAGACTTCTGGTCTCCAGAACCACGAGAGAATACACTTCTGTTGTGTTAAGTCACCTAGTTTGAGGTACTTTGTCACAGTAGCCCTGGTAAACCAATACAGTTGTCCTGAATGTCAATTTTATCTAAATTTTAAAACCTGCAAGAGAATATTAGTATTATTTTGTGTAGTGACTATTCATGTTTATCCATGTTTTGACTCTGCATCTATCTAGGATCATTTTAATTCTACTTGAAATATTTCCTTAGTATGTCTTTGTTGTTGATGAATTTTCTTAGCTTTCATTTGCCTGAAAAAAATGTCTTTATTTCACCTTCTCTTTTTGAAGCATGTTTTTCCTTGGTGCAGAACTCTAGGATAATAGTTCTCTCAGCACATAAGCACATTGAAGATATCATTCCATTTTCTTCTGACTTCCATTGTTTGGTTTTCTGAACTTTTATTATAATATACATTAGTGTAGTTTCTTTTAGACTCATGTTATCTGAGATTTATTCTTAATTCTATAGCTTGATTTTTGGGGCAATTTTTGAAAATTTTTTGTTATTATTTCTTTAAATATTACTTCTGCCTCAATCTCTCTCTCCCCTGTCCTTTGGAACCCAAGTTACAATTCTACAGAAGCAACTTGTCCTCAATCTCTTTTCCAAACCTGCTTTGGTCTTCCTTTCCTTTTATCTCCTCTCCTATTTTACCTCTTCTTCTTTTTTTCTCCTAGATTTTGGAGTACTCCCCACTCCACTTCACTGTCAACCCTGCTTCAAAATTAGTTTTAAAATACAGATTAACTCAATGGGATGCCCACTTAAAAACCTCAGTGTCTCTTTCCCTGTCTGTCTTTCACGAAACATGTGTTTAAAAACTATTATGTGTCATGCACTGTATTTATTGCCACTTATGTGATTAAAAACATCAATTATACCACATATACAAACTCTGTCCAGAAAAAGTCCAGCCATTGTTAATACGATGAGAACACTTTGCATGACATCACTGTAAGCTGGCAGCCAAGGAGTGTAGACTGGAATGTACTTGCGTGAACAATGACGACTTCACTGTACTAGTCAGTGGGGGCAGTAGACATCATTGCGTGAGCATGTGTACTGTGTGGCTATCACATTCAAAATGACTAAGCAAGTAGAGCAATGAATCTGCATCAAGTTTCGCATTAAGTTTGAACATTCCTCCACAGAAAGTATTTGGATGATTCACAAGGCTGCAGCTATGGGCAACTGGTGATTGTCAGCTTCACCACAACAACATGCCTGCTCATGCATCATGTCTCATGCGGAGTTTTTTTGTAAAACATCAAGTCACCCAGCTGATACAAACCCCCTACTGCTCAGATTTGGTGCCTTGTGACTTTCAGCTTTTCCCAGAACTAAAATCACCTTTGAAAGGGAAGAGATTTCAGACTGTCAATGCAATTCAGGAAAATACGATGGGGCAGCTAATGGTGATTGGGAGAGCTGTGTGAGATCCCAAGGTGCCTACTTTGATACTGTCAATGTCCTATGTACAATATTTCTTGTATCTTCTTCAATAAAAGTCACTATTTTTCATGTTACATGGCTGGGTATCTTGCAGACAGACATAGTGTTTTATTGATCCATGTATAGAAAATTAAAATATAAAAATAAGAACCAGAATGATTTATTCCAATTTCATATCAGAATGAAAAGAAGATCAAAGGGGATTTCAAATTTAAAGGTTTTTTCTTGGTAATCTGAGAAAATGTTAACATTAATTTTGAATGATTAGTACATGGGTGCTTTTAACATTATCTTCTATGCTTTCTGTATTTTAACATTTTTAAAAATACAAGGTTGCTTGGTATCAATTAGGCAGAGGTCTCTTTGAAACTGTCTTCACTGGTAAGTCTCTAGGCTCCTCTGTAGTATATATAGTTGAGAGGCAGAGTTAAAAGCAAGGCAACTGTACCCAGGTAGAAGAGACACATGCGACTAAGATTCTTCCTCCTGTAACTCAGCAAATTAGTGTATTTATTAGTGTAGGGGAAAGGAGCAGCATTGAAAACTGAGTAAAACTGATGGATTTTTGTTTTATCTCTTTTTTCTTGGCCAGTTATTATTGAGAAGTGTGCAAATGACAATAAATAGTCCAATGGGAGGCAAATTAAAAAGACACTGGATAATTAACCAACTAGGTAACTTACTTTTGAAGGGTCATGTTACACATTCTTTCAAGGAAATGAACTGATGATTCATGGATTGCTGTAATTGAATGAATCATCAGTTGCTCCTAACATCTGTCTCTGAGGCTATTTTTCACAGTTTAAATGAAAGAAAAGTTCTTACAATTCTGATGTATATCTGTTTTTACTAAAAATTTATTAAACAAAATCAAAAAGGTATACATTGATGAACAGAGGCCCCCAAAGTATTGAAGCAACTATCTTTTTGGATTATTATTATAAATTATAGGATGTACACATAGAATAATTATCTTATGTTAATATAAAAATTATTGAATAATCTATGTGAGTTACACCACTATGCAAAGGTGAATCAAGGAAATTTGAATACAAAATAATATTGAATGTAAACTGTAATTGAAAAATAACATTAACAGAAAATTTGAAGTCAAATTTCTGTGGAAAATATCCAGAATGAGTAAAATATTGAAGGCCATAATTAATTGAAAAAAAGACATTAATATTCTTTTTGAAAGTCTCACATCTAAGTCATAGTGTACTAAAGGTATGTGTGTATAAAATAATATACATTACATATACACATAATAGGTGTATAAAACTTATTGCTGAAAGAGCTTTTTAAAATTTATAACTAAATCTCTTACTTTACCAGTGAAGAAACTCAGGTACAAAGATATAGGATACTTAATTTTTTGAAATAGATTGTATTCAGAAATATACAAAATTTCCATCATTCCACTTCTGAAAGGTGTTATTTTGGGGTGGTATCTCTCAGTGATGTGTTAGCATACTAACGATGGTTTTTATACTCTTGTGTACAGAATCCTGTGATTCCAGAGAAAGAGAGAAGAAGAATGGTATAATGAGAATCACTGCCTCCTCTTCCACCTGCCCAGGTTTGCTTTTACCCATTTTATACATTGGGATTCTACCCAATATTTCATTAAAAAGAGCATCCCTCTGCTAAATAAAAGTTTGCAAATCGTTACAACTTCACCAGGACATAGCTACGGTATGAGACAGCCTTTCTCCACACTTAGGATTTGTTATTGTGTTCCTCTAGTCAGTTCTGAAACATTTGGGGGCATCTTGTGAACCTCAGACTCTCTCCCTTAAAAAATGACCTAAGCACACATTTTTGTACCAAATTTAGCAGACTTGTGGACTTTCTGAAATCCATTCACAGATTCTGGGTTAATAACATCAACTCTAAACACTTTATTGAGAGCAATTAAATAAGAAATTTCTAGTTGAAAAAATAAGATTTGGGGGGTAATATTAGAGTATGTTTGGAAAAGATGAATATTTTTAGCATAGTATAACTTCTAAGACCAGTTTATCCTGCCTAATAGAAAGTAAAATATCCTTTTGACCAAATATCAAGAACTACGTATTTTTGCTGGCCACACTGTTTTGCTGTTTTTTTTTGTTTGTTTTTTTTAAATCCTCACCCAAGGATGTTTTTATTGATTTTAGAGAGAGAGGAATGCGGGTGGGTGTGATTTAACCCACAACCTAGCTACGTACACTGACTGTGGGACACAACTTTTTTGGTGAACAGGACAATGCTCCAACCAACTGAGCCACCTGGCCAGGCCTTTTTTGCTACTCTTTTGATTCATTAATTCATTCAACAGATATCTATCAAAAACGGTAAGGACACTGTGGTAGAGAGGTAAGTGAATGGTTTACAATAAGTCCTTTAGGAGCCATCTACTTTTTAAGGAGCCACCTATTTTTGAGGAAATGAGTAGTTTTTAGTAGTGTATTTTACCACTTAACCCCTTTATACCTGTTTTACACACACATGCACACATATGCACACACCTCACTCTCTGCTGGAGTAAGTATCCATTTGGCTTACCAGGGCAGAATCAGGCCTGGCTGAGGCCTGCGTGGTCTAGGTAAACTGCATCCAGCTGTGCTGCTACTGTGAGGCTCAATCAGAGGACAGTAGGGATGTGCAGGGGCATTGGGACTGTCACACCAAGGGCTGTGACTGGGGAAAAGAGTGGGTGGGAGTTCTTTTTCTCTGTAAAAATAAATGAATGAATGAATGAATAAATGAATGAATGAAATAATAAAATAAAGCCAAAATTGAACTCAAAGACATTTCATACAGTGGCATTAGTAACAAGGCTCAACTAAAGAGAGAGCATGTTTTAAAGACCAGAAAATCTGGGTTTTCTAGACCTTGTGGGGAGCACTTTTATTATAATATCAGAAACATTTGCCTACAACTGAATAACATAACATTAACAGGTGAATAACAAATTCTGTACCTTTAGCCACAGCCAGCTCTTGACCCAAGATAAAATCCCCAGATGTTGCACCTCTCCCTTTGCCTCATCACTGCTAAAGACATGGTGATCACTTCATCTCCACACCCCTCTAATGGCAGTGCCATGAAGAGGTGAAATGGCTGGGGGTTGGGGGAGGCTGGGGGTCCTCCACGTCCTAACAGAAATTGCCTGCCTTTATTGTCCCATTAGTATATCCCTGCTTGCTCTGTGTTTGTATGTATGGTCCTATTCAAAATTGATACTTTTGGTCATTACTGATATACCCATCCATCACATATTTATTTGTCGCCCAGTCATTCCCACCTGCCCAGTTACCAATTGTGAGAAGGGCTCCATTAAAAAAAAAAAAAGAAGAAAAAAAAATCAAGGAAATTTTACCTCTTAAGAAATTGTGGAACTGGTTCTATCTGATAGTTTAAGATATCTTTATTAGGTTGATCACATTTTCCTTGAGTTGTAGTTGCAGCTTTTGGCCAATGGAACACGTGCCTTCGAGATGTTGGACTTAACACTGAGCATTCCTCAAATTCAATGTCAGTCTCTAATTTCTCCCATGCTTGCTTCCAGTGAATAGGAGTATACCAGGCAATGGCCTAATAAAAACAATGCATTACTATCAAATACTGTAGGAGTTAGACTTTTTAAAAATGTCATGGCTTAATGTAATAAAATTTCAAAGTCAAACTGTATAATGCCACTTACTTGTAGTAAAACACCCTAAAAATGTGGTAAGACATCCTGAGCTTAGTTTCCAATTCTGAAAATCTTAAGCTGCATGACCTCAGCAAGTTAGCCACTTGCTATCTCCCTATGTCCTCATATACAAAATAAGAAGGCTGGTGGCAGGAAATCACTATATGAGGGTGTTAAGCTACTAAATTTCATAACTATGAAGAACTGTGCTAACAGTAGTTATAATGTTAGTAAGTTAAAATGTTAACTATCTAAGACACTATAATGTGTGTGTATGTGTGTACCTTATTTGAGATGAGAAGTAGAACCAGCACCAGAGCCAAGGAGAGGAGATCACGTTCTCCAGACTAGATCCCAAGTGGGACTATTAAGGAGACCCACGATGACTAAAGCTGGAGCTTATTTTGGTTTCTTGAATATGTGGCAGGAAAATCATGTGTAAAAACTAACAATTATGTCTTTGTTTGACATGATAAAATTAAACACCAAAGTGTGCCCTAATATTCTATTTGTTCCCAGGATCTGTTTTTAGTTTATAAAATCAGGACTTTTGGCTATTATCATTGAAAAACTGACTGGATTTATAGGATTGCTCTGATTGGACTGACAAATTAACTAGACATAAAGGCAAGTTCAGCTAGGTTATGCCTATGGCAAAGAAAGAGAAAGATGAAGTCTTTTCTAAAAGGTTTGATTTCATGGATCACAACAGGAAAACACTTTTGCTTCAGGTCATCAGTTAAGGATTCTCCTTTTTTAGCAGCTTAAACAGAGACATTTTTGTTGAAAATATGTTGTGATTTGTTTTTAGTGCAATCTCCCTGAATAAGTTTGTAAGATTTTCCTAGACAAGAGGAATATTTTACTTCTCTCTATATTATAGGGACTTAAAAATATTTGATGACAATGATAATATGATAAAATAAAATGATACGGTTTTAATTTCACCTCAGGAATGTTGGTCATATGAACCTTGTAGGCTATCTTCAGTACAACAGAAAAATTCCTGGAGTTAGAATGTCTGGTTTTATTTTAGTTCTGCCATTTTCAAATCATGTGACCTTGAGCAAGCCATATAACTTTCTAAGCCCCATTTGCCTCCTTTGTAAATATTTAATCTCAGAATCAAATGAGATAATGCACAGAAAAACAGCTCTTCAATGAGCTCCTACAGCACAGGAGAATTGGGTCCCATATCTGACCTTTAATGCAAAACAATGGGAAGTTCCCAGGCACTGAATAAACATAAGATGGCTATTAATTTTTTGACATGTACCTATAGTACAACAATGTAAATGGTGGAAAAAATCCAGCACTGTTTACAGACTCATAGAATCTTAGTGATTATATTGTATAAACCCTTATGTCATATATTAGAAAATACAGCCCTGGCTGGCATAGCTCAGTGGGTTGAGCTCGGGCTGTGAACCAAAGTGTCGCAGGTTCGATTCCCAGCCAGGGTACATACCTGGTGGGTTGCAGGTTATAACCCCCAGCAACCGCACATTGATGTTTCTCTCTATCTCCCTTCCTTCCCTCTCTAAAAATAAAAATAAATAAAATCTTTAAAAAAAAAAGAAAATACAATAAAGACTACACAGTTAACTCATGGCAGAGCAGGACTAAATCTACCTTTATATTACATCACATGACTTGTAGCTATATTGAATCTGTTGCCATATTAGTGATGACTAATGAGTAGTCTGTCATACTTTATTTTAGGTTTCTTCTTTTTAATGCCCATAACCAGTAATATAGCTTCTTTAATCAAGTGCAGAAACAGAACCTATTCTAGTTTGTATGATTGGCTATTGTTTTAGGCAGAAGATTGCAGGCTCTGAAACTTTTTCCACAAGATATCAGATATTTTCTTTACACTAGTTATATAAGTTGAAAGAAATTTAGAGTCGTGTGGGTTGCCCTGTGTTCTAGCATGTCTGTGGGAATGTAGCAACCCATCTCTGCATGGAAAATCTGTCTGACAACTGCAGAGAGTGAGGCTCAGTGTCACTGAGGTAAGAAGAGAAATACACTTGCTGTTAAAAGAGGAGTGAGGGAGAACTCTATGCTTACAGTAGGGTTTCAGTTTGACATAAAGTCACATTTTACTGTATTTAATGGGAAATATTTTCTATTTGAATTAAATAATGCCGATTACTTTACTACTGGGAATTCCAATAGGTCCTCAATTATTACATCCCTTAGAATAGAGAAGAATCTTGGGGCTTCCGCTCAAGATGTCTGAGCAGGCAGATGTGGCTTGCCTCTTTGCACAACCACATCAAAAGTACAACTAAAATACAGAACAAACATTACTCAGAACTGTCAGAATCAAGTTGAATGGAAGCCTGACAATTACAGAATTAAAGAAACCACATCCATCCAGACTGGTAGGAGGGGCATAGATGGGGAATGGGCTGGTCCCACACTCATGAGTGGTGGATAAAAATTTGGGAGGGATATCTCCAGAGCGAGGAGTCCCAGGCCCACACTGATGGCCTCCCAGCTTAGGGTTCCAGAGCCAGGAATATAAAACCCCACAATTTTGACTGAAAAAAGTAGTGGGGATTGAGTCAGTGGAAGACACTGCTGGAATTCCAAGTAGTTCCTCTTAAAGAAAACACACAAGGACTCATCTGTTCAGACTTACTCCTTCTGAGCTCTAGCACTAGGGTAGCAGCCAGCCTAGATACACAGCTTGGCTTTGCCTGGGAACCTCCAAGCCCAGCACTGGTAGACGCTATCTTCTAAGATGGCTTGTTCTATAGCTCAGGCAGGGTGGCCTGCACAAAACAAAGGTGGGGGCTGACCTTGGCTGGTATCACCTGGGAAACCCCAGAGCCAGCACTCCCAGTGGACAGCTACAGACCACACTGAAGAATCACCACCCTTCCCCTGCACAGCTGATCCTCCACAGAGGGCAGAGGCTGGTGGTAAGTGGTCACAGCCAATCCTTGCAGCTAACTGGCTGGGTAAACCCTTCCCATTGATTTGCCAACAGCAACCAAGGCTCAGCTACAAGAGGAGGGTGTACTCAGCCCACACAAAGGTTGTAGCTTGTGTGCCCAGTTAGGGTGATTGGGGACGCTGTGCCATTGGAGCTTACAGGACACCTACTATATTAGGCCACACGACCAAGACAGGTAGTCAAAGCAGCTCTACCTAGTACATAGAAACAAACACAGGGAGGCTGTCAAAACGAGGAGACAAAGAAACATGGCCCAAATGAAAGAACAGATCAAAACTCCAGAAAAAGAACTAAACAAAATGGAGACAAGCAATCTATCAGATGCAGAATATAAAACACTGTTTGTAAGGATGCTCAAGGAATTTAGTGAGGACCTCAGCAACATAAAAAAGATCCAGTCAGAAATTAAGTATTCACTAATTGAAATAAAGAACAATATACAAGGAAACAACAGTAGAACAGATGAAGCCAAGAACTAAATCAATGATTTGGAACATAAGGAACCAAAAAACAACCATGCAGAACAACAAGAAGGAAAAAAAATCCAAAAAAATGAGGACAGTATAAACAGCCTCTGGGACAACTTTAAGAGGTCCAACATCTGCCTCATAGAGATGGCAGAAGGAGAAGAGAAAGAGCAAGAAATTGGGAATCTATTTGAAAAAGTAATGAAAGAAAACTTCCGTAATTTTGGTAAAGAAGTAGACATGCAAGTCCAGGAAGCACAGAGAGCCCCAATCATGATGGATGCAAAGAGGTCCACTCAAGATACATCATTATTAAAAGGCCAAAGGTTAAAAATAGAGACTTTTAGAAGCAAGAAAAAAGAAATGAGTTACCAGCAGGTTGCCAGAGGGAAGGGGGTAGGGGAGAATGGGTAAAGAGGTGAGGGTATTAAGAAGTACAAATAGGTAGTTACAGAATAGCCATGGGGATATAAAGTACAGCATAGGAAATGGAATAGCTGAAGAACTTAATACGCATGACCCATGGACATGAACAATGGTGTGGGTATTGCCTAAAGGAAATGGGGGGTGCTGGATGGAGGGGGAAAGAAGGGAATAATAAGAACAACTGTAATACATTAATCAATAAAATATAATTAAAAGAAACAAAAAATAAAAAAATAAATGGCGAATGGACCTTAAAATAAAAAATAGAGAAGAATATCAACAAACATTTATAAAGCACATAAAGGAAGAGAATGAACCTCTACATACTTCCCTCCTTTTTTTATCCTGCTTTTCAGGCTAAATGCCATAAATAAAATTCATCTTTAATGCTGAAATTTGAAGCAGCTTCAAATTGGGGGTATCAAAATTATTGTTGCTGAATTGTAAGCAGCTCTTTGGCAGTTTGGCACTGAGAAGAGGGTGCTGTTGATGTGCTGGTTTGTTGTGACAGTCAATGGTGGTTCTGTGCAAGATTTTAGGGTCAGAAAAATAGTTGCATGAGCTAAGGGTAGAAGGAGAACAGAAGGAGACTATTTAAACACTATTGTTAAGAACCAGATACTGACCTCACCATTCGGTTTGCACAGAATTGTTGTACAAACTGGGCTTGTGCTGAAGTTGTTTTCTCCCTTCCAAAGAAAATCTGATGGTGGCTGATGCTGTGCTTTGGATGCTGCTATCCAGACCTGTGAGAAATAGTTTATTAATAACGAAGATCACTGGAGTTCAACAATGTTGTAAATGTCACAGGGTGATTGCAATGTCATCTTTCTCAACATAGCGAGGTTTTAAAATATAATGACTACGTAATATGTAATGTCAAGCTATGTAATCCTCTATGCAGTTTAAAAGAAACCACAAAACAGAAAAACTCCACCAGTATCAACTAATTTTCAGTTCTCTAGGCTAACAATCTCTTTACTTTTCTTTTAAGGATTATGTTTGCTTAATTTTAGGAACTTAGGTATTTTATTTTAATAGTTAAATCATAAGCCAAAAGGTATTGTACAACAAATTGCAGAGAGCTATGGAAATTTAATTATAGGTTTTCATTTACACACAGAATTGGACAATGTGGCAAAATTAGCCACCACCACCAAAACTCTACATTTTGCATTGAGATCTGATGATGAAGAAACCATCAGTGCTGAGCCGCAGTCTGACCTGGGTCAGTGAGATTATCTTGTACAATTTTACCTCATAGTATTGATATCTCATACTCACTGTCACTGTGGAATTGGCATGCATTATGGTGTTTGGGGGGAAACGGAACAAGGAGACTGCTTGTCCATTCACATTTTGCTGGAGAATATGATTTCCAATCTCCTGTTCTTTGTCAATGGAAGAGTTATTGAGTTTCACATATGCATCCTTCACTTCTTCAATTTTAATATCTCCAAAAGCACTAAAAAAAACCATAAAGATTATAAGATGTCTTTAGTTCACTTTAGAATTGAATAGTAAGTATGTTTTGGAAATTGTTCCTAAACTGTCTACTCTATTGGACAAATTCTATCGTAGAGAGAGTGTATTTTGTAATCTAAGACAAATGCCTGATCACTTACTTCTATTTGTTTATCTGTGCAATAAGATAATCCTTTTTTCCACATAAAATAATTTAAAATAAACTTAAAAAGTGCTTTAGGTGTCAAGGTATAAATGCCATAGGAAGGTGCAAGTATCATTATTTAAGTACTACTGTTTGTAAAACCACAGTAGTGGTTTGAAACTCAAATAGATCAAGAGGAAAGTTAAATTAATTTCTGATAAAGTTGTTGTGAAGATGACTAGCAACTATGTACTTAAAAATTCTGCAAACAAAATACTACACAAAGATAAGATGGTATTTTTTCCTACTAACATGTAAAGAGCCTTAGTATATACCAGAGACCAGGCTAAATACAAAAATATATATATATTTATATTTATGTATGAAATATATTTATATATTTATATATAAATACATATGTAAAAAATATATTTTTTCACATTTTTCAGATTGACACAATCCCTCTGGTGGGTTAGAAATATCCTTTTAAAAATGAAACATACTCCTACCACTAATAACCAATACTTATGTACCAGGCACTTTTTAAAGATTATATCTATATCTCTAATTCTTTCAATTACAGTTCACAGTCAGTATTATTCTGTATTAGTTTCAGGTGTACAGCATAGTGGTTGGACAGTCATTTACTTTACAAAGTGCTGCCCTCCATATTTCCACTACCCACCTGCACCATACCTAGTTACTACAATAGTATTGACTGTATTCCCTATGTTGGTTTTACAGCCCTGTGACTATTTCATAAGCATCAATTTGCTTTATAACTACCAATAATCCTTTACATTATTTATCCAGATCCTCCTCCCCCCTGGCAACAATCAGTCTGACCTCTGTGCTTCCATATATTAACCATTGTAAATAGCATTACAGTGAACATAGGGGTGCATATATTCTTTCAAATTAGTGTTTTGTCTATGGATATAGTCCTAGAAGTGGAATCACTGGGCCATGAGGCAGTTCCATTTTTAATTTTTTGATGACCCTTCATACTGTTTTCAATAGTGGCTGCACCAATCTGCATTTCCACCAACAGTGCACAAGGGTTCCCTTCTCTCCACATCCTCAACAATACTTGTTATTTCTTGATTTATTGATAATAGTCATTCTGACAGGTGTGCAGTGATATCTCATTGTGGTTTTAATTTGCATTTCTGTAATGATTAGTGACATTGAGCATCCTTCATATGTCTATTGGCCTTCCGTATGTCCAATAGATAGTGTCGGTTCAAATCTTTTGCTCATTTTTAATTGGATTATTTGTTTTTCTAGTGCTGAGTAGTAAGAATGCTTTACAAATTTGGATAGTAACCCCTTCTCAAATGTATCATTAATGAACATCCTCTCCCATTGTATGTTGCCTTTTTGTTTTGTTGACGGTTTTCTTTGTTATGCAAAACCTTTTTAGTTTGATGTAGATCCATTGGTTTATTATTTGTGTTTGTTTTCCTTGCTTGAAGGAGGAGAGAGATGAAAATATCAGAGAATATATTGCTAAGAGAAATGTAAGAGATTTTATTGCCTATGTTTTCTTCCAGGAGGATTATGACTTTGAGTCTTACATAGAAGTTTAAAATCCATTTTGAGTTTATTCTTGTATATGGTGTAAGAAGGTAGTCTAGTTTCAGTTTTTAAATGTATCTGTCCAGTCTTCCCAATATTATTTATTGAATAGACTGTCTTTACCCAATTGTATGTTCTTACCTCCTTTGTCATATATTAATTGACCATATAGGTATGGGTTTACTTCTGGGCTATTTAGTTCCAGTGATTTATGTGTCTGTTTTTATACCAATATCATGTATTTTGATTACCAGAGACCTGTAGAATAGTATGATATCAGGTATTGTGATATCTCCTACTTTGTTCTTCCTCAAGGTTGCTGTGGCTATTTGATGCCTTTTGTGGTTCCACATAAATTTTTGGATTATTTGTTCTAGTTCTGCGAAATAGATAATTGGTATCTTGATGGATTTGCACTGAATCTATAGATTGCTTTCAGTTGTATTTTAATGATGATCATTCTTCCTTTCCATGAACATGGTATATGCTTCCATTTATTTGTGTCTTCTTCAATCACTTCCTTCATTGTCTTATAATTATCCAAAGTGAAACCTCAGTTCTTGAACATCTTGGTTCTTGAACAATTTGGTTCTTAACCAAGTTGTTCATGGAAAAAAATGTCTCAGTTGTCAAACAAAACTTTAGATCTCAATTCTCAACCTGACAACATTTTCATATTGATACTATTATCAGCCACGTGTCTCTCAGGCAACATAGAGATTTGGGAATAAGGTAAATAACTTTTGGGGATCTAATGTACAGTATAATGACTATAGTTAACAATACTATATTATATACTTGAATATTGCTAATTTAAATGTTCTCACCAAAATAAAAAAGGTAATTATTTGAGGTAATGAATGTGTTAACTAACCATATTATGGTAAATCTTTCACAATACATATATGCATGTCAAATCATCATTTTCTATACTTTAAACTCATACAATGTTATATGACAATATCTCAAAAAAAGAAAACAAATCAAGTTTTACATCTTAAATATATCCTATTTTAATGTCAATGATATCTCAGTAAAATTGTTAAAAACTGAAGGAAGAATTCATCATAAGTAAATCCATAATACAAGAAATGTTAAAGGTATAAAGTATATTTTTCTTATCATTTAAATTTCTTTAAAAAGTTGATTATTTAGAGAAGCATATCTATGAAGTATGGGATTTTAAACATATATGTATAAGTAAAATATGCAACAGTAAAAGCGCAATGGCCAGGAGGAGAGAGATGAAAATACAGTATTGTAAGGCTCTTATACTTTATGAAGTGGTATGATATCACTTCAAGGTAGTCTGTGATAGGCTCAAGATGTATCCTATAAACCTGGAAAGAACTACCAAAATAACAGCACTAAAGCTAATTAGCCAACAGTGGGGATAAAATCATTAATAGTAATTAATTCAAAAGAAGACAGACAAAGAGAACACAGAACAGTTGAAACAAACAGAAAAGAAACAGCGGGATAGTAGACTTAACCCTAACCTTATTAACAATTACTTTAAATGTAAATTGTTTAAATGCTCAGATTAAAAGACAGAGATTTTCAGGTTGAATAAAAGAGCAAGTTCCAACTATAAGCTACATATAAAACATGCACTTTAAATATAAGGACACAAATAGGTTTTAAAAAAAAAGACATACCATGCCAACACCAGTAATAAGAAAGCTGGAGTGGCTATATCAATTAGACATAGATTTCTGAGCAGAGGTAATGGCAGAGATAAGGAAGGTGATTTCATAATGCTATAGAGACCAATTCATCAAGAAAATATAACAGTCCTAAATGTTTGTGCACCTAATAACATAGCTTCAAAATACAAAAGCTGATAGAACTGCAAGAAAAAAATCAACAAATCCATGATTATAGTCAGAGATTTTAATACCCTTTTCTCAATAACTATAAGGACAAGTAGATATAAAATCAGTAAAAAGACAGACTTAACACAGTCAATTAGTTTGACCTGATTAACATTTATGAAACACTCCACTCAACAACAGCAGAATATGCATTCTTTGTAAGTGCATCCAAAACATTTACCAGGATAGACAACACCCTGGCGATAAAACAAGTCTCAATACATTTAGAAGGACTCAAGTCAAACAAAATATGTTCTTTGATCACCATAGAATTAATTAGAAATCAGTAAGATAAAGATATTTGAAGAGGCATTGAAACTGAAGAATATGTAAAATATTACATGTCTTATTACACAAGGATTAAGGAAATGCAAGTGAAAATTACAAAGTATTTTTAAGTAAATTAAAATAAAAATACAACATACTGAAATTTGTGGGATGCCATTAAATCTTTACCTAGGGGAAATTTATAGTACTACTAAATGCCTATATTAAAAGATAAAAAGGTATCAAATCAATTATCTCACTTTTATGTTGAGAAACTAGAAAAAGAAAAGAAAAGAAAATCTACAATCGGGTTTCAAATATAAAAATATAAAATAGGCAGAAGAAAGGGTATACAGATCAGAATGGAAATCAATGAAAAATAGAACAAAACAAAAATAAAGAAAATCAATGAGTCACACACTGTTTCCTTGAGATGCTCATAAAACTGGTAACTTCATTGATCAGGAAAAAGAGAGAAGAAACATGTGATCAGTATTGGCAGTAAGAAATGTGATACTACTATAGATTCTCTAGACAATAAAAGGATTATAAAGCAATAATTATGCACAACTTTATGACAATAAATATAACTTAGAGAAAATTCCTTGAAAGATACCAACTACTCAAGTTCTCAAGAAGAAATAACCAAATATCCTTTTATCTATTTTAAAGAAAAAGTATTTGTACATAAGATCCTACCCACAAAGAAACTCCAGGTTCAGATGGCTTCACTGATGAATTCTATAAGACATTTTTAAAAAAGAAATATTAGTTCTACACAAACTCTTCTAGAAAATAAAACAGGAGGGAATATATCCAATTCATCCTATGAAGCAAGCATGCCCTTATACCAAAGTAGACAGAGATATTAGAGGAAAAAAAATGTGTATACTAACAATCTATAATTCACAGTTCAATCTGTTGTTCATGTAACAAGAAAAGCAGGATTAAGTATAGATGAATCAGCTTTTATTTTAGCTCAGAGCAACTGTCTTCCATATAAGTTCTTTTGCCTTAGATACTAACAACCATTAAAATGAATCAATGACTTAAAAGTTCACTTTTCTCCTTCTGTATTGAAGTCAAGATCCTAGTAGAAGAAAAAAAGATACTAATTTCATCTGAATTACTTGCTAATAATGAAAAAAAATTCCTTTAATAATTGAGTTGACTTTATTTGTAGAGGTTATCTAGTGGTGTTTTCTCTGGCATCTTTGAAGAGTTAACATTCATTATTGGGTTCCTTAGGAAGTTATATTGATTCCTTTTAATTGTTCAGAACATGAAACAGTTATTTTTCATCTAATTTCTTAGATGAAATTACAACAGCCCAACAGATTAGAACTTTGCATTCTACTAATTTATTGCTCCCATTCCAAGACAGGATACTAAATAATTAGAATATGTACCTGGATCTACAATGGCCCACTTCTTCAAGAATCACAGAAAAGTGCTTCCAACTTCTGTTGGTATGGAATGAGTGTGTAGTGAGTTTCTTTGAATCACCAAACAAAGATAGGAAATAATCCTCCCCTTCACCAGTCACGGCTAGCTCAGAAGCAGGGATTGACAGAGTCTGGCTCTTTTTCTTTGGAACTATAAACCTGTTGACTTCTTTCAAAGAAATCAAAGAGAGAAGTGACAAGGAAAGAAGTAAATAAACAAAAGGTATTTTTTAAAAAGAAAACCCAAAGCCACTATCTTTATTCTTTGCTCCTATAAAACTATACTCTCTACATTTTTACTCTCACTGTCAAACTAAATGAAGATAGTTTAAAGCTTTAAACCAAAGTCTACAAAATAACCAGTAAGTGATTATTTTTAATAATACTCAATTCTAAGAGATTATTTCAGTTATCTTAAACTATCAATTATATCATTAGCATAATGATAATTAAACCGATTATTTAGTTGTACTAGAAGCATTATAAGTTGTTGACTAGTTAAAACATTTGAGTCTCTCAAATTTGGATTTGTCATATATAAGTACAACTTTATTCTATTAGCTATTCTCCCCAAATTGATACCCATAAATTGAACCTTTAAATGTGTCCTTTCTTAACAATGGTTGATATTTTTGCCAGGTAAAGACTTAAGTTTCCTCTTTTTAACTAAAGTACTTTATCAGAAAGATAAAGTAATACTTCATTAGATTCTAGCATTCTCTTGGAAATCTACTCCTTTAAAATTCTCACTACTCAGACTCAAACCCAAAATAGGTTTCATGATTTTGCATAGAAAGAACCATGCTAGATAAACCTAATAATGTAAGTGCAAAGAGAAAATAACACTGTAGAGAGGCATCATGAAGTGAATAGAGCAATATGTCTTGGATTTAGGCAGACCTGCAGTGGTATCCCATCTCTGTCACTTACTAAGCCAACTGATTTAAACTCTCCAATTCTCAATTTTCCTAAACATAAAATAAAAATAATACTACCTTGTTAAGGTGACATGAGGACTGAAGGTAATGGAGGTAAGTGTCTAGCAGTGTCTGGTATTTAGCAGGTACTCAATAAATGACATTTATTATTGTAGCTCTGGTTCCAAAATCACCAAAGGGTTCACACAACTCAGTGTTTGCTTTACATTTGTGTATTTTTAGCAAAAGACAAAGTGAAGTGAAAGCTGGAAAGGAATAAACTGATAGTTCCTAAAGAGGATTCTTCAAAGTATTTTGTTTAGAAGAAATGTTTGAAATTAAATTAATTTATTCCCAGTCAAGTAAGTATTTACTTAATCCTTTATTTACTTTGGGGATGGAGAATATACAGCAGCTCTTTTCATAGCTTATCCTGAGGATGAAAACGTTTGAATTCTAAAAGGGAAAAAGACATTCATTTTAGTCCCAGTCATTATTTCATCTAGAGGAACAGATAGGAATGAGCCAAATGCAACAAGTCACAGCCAACTCAGACATCTATCAACAGAAGCAGAATCTACAGTAACTGAAGGAGAAGACCACATCCTAGTTCAGCTCTCATCTTGCATGGGAAAGCCACTATATATTTTGTTTTTCTCCCACTGACACTAGGAGCTTTCACAGTTAAACTGAAATATAGAACATATGCCATGATGAAAGAGTGCCAAAGGATAGAGAACATTCCCTCCCTATGTCTAAAACCTGTATTTTCACATTTAAGCATACGGATTTGGTCACTGCTATACAGGTCAGTGTGAACTTAGGAGGCTTTTTTGAAAAAATGTGTCTTAGGTATACAAACAATGAAGCAGAGGAAGTACAACAATGGCAGTAGGTCAAAATCCTAGATAACACTGTGTCAAAGGCTTAGGAAAATACCAGATATAAACCAAATACAGATAAGCAGCAGCCAGGCTGTAGATGTCCACAGAATGGCAGAGGAAAATGTCAGTGATACACAGACCCCAATGTTGCTGGGATCAACAGTAAGCATAGTCAGGTCATCCTTGGCATTATGACATTAAGAAATTAGTATTATTGAACACAAATAATAAAACACCATCCCAGCTTCTAGATACATAGAGAATTTATCAAACTATGTAATTTAAAAATAGTATGGTGATTACCAGAGGGAAAGCGGGTAGGAGATGATAAAGGGGGTTAAATAGTGATGGGAGGAGACTTGACTTGGGGTGGCAAACACACAATACAATATACAGATGATGTGTTATTGAATTGTACACATGAAACCTATATAATTTTATTAACCAATGTCACCCCAATAAATTCAATACAATTTAAAAATAAAATAAAGAATAAAAATATTCCCTAAAAGTCATTACATGTTCTTCTTACCTAAGTTGTTCTCTGATTGGAGATGGTTCAGTGAGGTAGATTTAGAACACTTCGGTGCAGCTGTAGCTCCACTAATCTGATAGCTAGGTGGGCTATGACTGGGGGGTATTTCACTGGACGATGACCATGACAGTGACAGTGTTGTGGTATCTGAATTTACAAAACCTGGCAAAAAATGTACTGAAGATTGCTGTGTCTTTGAGAGGTCAGCATGTGTATCTTCTCTTCTGTGTACAGAAATCAGTATAATGAACAAAGTAAGAAAGTCAAAATGAACAGCCTATGAACATAAGAAGCATGAACTATTATTACTACCCAGAGTTCTACTTTTCAAAGTTATTATGCATTTATCATAAGCACAAGAACATCTTATGTTTCTAGTTTTAGCAATCTATGTAGAACACTTTAGTATCAAGTTAAGATATGCTTTTTTTTCTATTTAAAAATCAATAAATTCCCATTGTATATGGTTTTGAAAAAAGTGTAAAAGTAGAAAGAAAATCAAAATCAACCCAAATTGTACCATTTTTCAGACTTCTTAGTGCATTTTTATACAAAACTGAGATTCTATAAACCATTTATAAGCCAAATTTATCACTCATTGTATCATATTTCCCCTTTCTATTAATGTAAAATATATTGTTTACTATATCTTTTTCCTCTAACTTTGCTGCTGGATTAATTTTCTGTATTTATGAAGATCCTAGAGTTAATGTTTGCTATAAAATGCTCTGCAAATTAACAAGCATAAACACAGTGCACATATGCACTCATGTGTGCTTGTGTGTGTGAGTGTGAGTGTGTGTGGATATTGAAGGGAATAGCAGAAGAAGAAAGATTTCATTTCCAGGTACTATTTTTATAAGCAAACCCTACTATGAACAAAGATTTTCCTTCCTTTTTCATAAATATAAAGGCATTTGTTAACTAATACATAGTCATTTAAAAAAATCCCTAAACTGCAGTACAATTATTTTACAAGTAGAACAATATTCTCATGGCATGACTCATGAGAAGGCATATGACAACTCCATTTTATGAGTCACACTGAGACTCTTCTCAATGAACTAAAAGCAATGCATGTGCATGTGTGTGTGTTTAATGCTTGAGTTGTGAATGAAATTCTGGGGTCCAGAATCTTTTTAGATCTCTGAAATACTGGATAAAGGGCCAGCCCACTTAGGCACTATGCTTCTGGGGTCACATGTGCACTCTAATTAAGAACTATGTATTTTACCTTCATGGATCACCTCTAATTTGATCCGATTGTTTTCCAGAGTTCCTATAAAGTAATTGTAGCCAGTTTTCTGTTGTTGTTTTTTTCAAATGTTTCCATAAGGGAACAGGTGCCTGGAGTTTCCTAATCAGTCTCAATCTCTCCGTTTACCAAGAGGTATTCACAATTCTTTTGTTTTATAATTTGTAAGTTCCCTTGTCAGATATATTATTCTGGAAAGTTCTTACTTAAAAGCAGACTTCTCTAAATGTTCCTTTCAGAAGGCACAGGCATCTTAAGCAAATTATTTTTTATAAGTGAATGGCATTGGCTTTGAAAATTGCATTACTATTGGTCCAGTACTTAGTAAGCTTGAGCATTCTGCTGACACTCCAAGCATTTGTTTTTTTCTGAAAAGCTCAAACCCATACCCCCAAGTATAACAGTGATGGCAGTGGGATGGAGACTATAGAACTCGATCATCAAGGTACAAATATTTTACCTCTGTCCAACCCGAGACAGGCTCATATGATGTGATTTCTCCCTGACACAGGCTACAATCAGCAGGAAAAGTACTTTTCTCTTTCAAAGTTCCTTACATCTGGGTTTCATTACACACAAACTGGCTATATCTTTCAGCATGTTCATTTTATAAGCTCTGATTTTTTTCTTCCTCCAGTAAAACAATAGCATTCCCCAATAAATTTAATTCCACAAAAGATTCCCAATAAGCCTGGGAAATGTTGTAATCAAAGAAATCTGGCCTAGGACCACTGGGTGTTTTTATTTTTGTATTTGAATAAGAAACTTCTAATGGGTGCACACACCTTTGGAAGAGCTGAAATATTTCGGGCAGAGGCATGCATGACACAGCCTACCGTTGGAAAACTCTGCCCTTGTAGACCTGTTAGACTCCTTCTGGAAGGTGAGAGGCTTGCCCTAGTGCTTAGTTAGCTTTCTCTAATGCTTAGCATATGGAATTTTCCAGTCCCTCCTTGGTATTTTGCTCCCTCTGTAGTTGATTAGCATAAAACCAGAGGCAGTTTTAAAAGTTCAATTCCAGCATTTCAATGTTATTTTAGATGTTGCACTGGTAATACTGGCAACATATTTTAAGAATGGATTTGAACTGCACAATAAACACAGGACATCTAGGTCCAAAGTAACATTAGTTTTAAATCGCAAATATTCAAGATAATAGGTGATTATTTTGGAAAACTGATGCTAATGCTTTAGTTCCCAGAAGCAAAAAGTCGTTCTAAGAATATTATCCGCCCATTGCCTTAACATGTCAGGTGTGAGCTTTGGATCCTCAACCAGGTCCGATGACAGAGGTCTTTCTCATTGCATTTTTATACTCAAGGACTTAACCTTATAAAACTGGGGTTGGGAAATAGTTGTATGTTACAGTTCATTTTAGAAAACGTGTGGAATCAATTCTAGTTCTACTTCACTAGATGTTTTGAAACGACAGGTCAAATATTCCATCATTATCCTTTAAAACTCAGGCCCTTCTCTCCTCTCATATTTGTGCCATTCTTACTGTTTGTTTTTCTCTGTCTTCTCCTTCTTCTTAGGGACTTGGCTTCGCAGGGCTGCCGATGTATCATGAGTGGCTTGTATGTCTTTCATCTTGGCTAGAAGAAAAGTCTATTTTCTTTCCTGGGAAAACAGATCATGACATTAGGCAAGGCATATAGCTGAGGTTCAAATCAGATTTTCTTTTTCAAGTGACCTCACCTAGTAATCTAACTACCTTAAAGCACTTTCCAGGGTTAATGATTTATTTACCAAGCCAGCGCCAGGACCAGGAGTCTAATGGGAATATGTAAGTTCTGACATAGCCAATATTGATAATGGCTAAGGCTATTAGACAAACCAAGGTGAAGGTATGAAGCATTCACTGGAAGCAGCTCAAGAGGCAGGGTGGTAACCCAGCATAGCTATCTTCATGACGAAAATGCTTATATGTGGCCAATGCTGCCTGTAGAACACTGTGAGGTAATGTCTCCATAGCTACATAGTTCCAGTCTCGGAACAATTACTGTGTTGTTGCTGCACCTGTTTTCCTGTTTGTACACATGAAATAAAGTGATTTGCGTTTAGGAGAGCCAGATCTCCCATCAGACAAACTTGGTCACCAAAACTTTTGATGTCCTATTTTGGACTTCTGAGGGTCAAGGCTAATATGTAATAAATATTGGGGAGTTAATCACTGTTTTTAAATGTTGATTTTAGACAATTTTTGTATTGTTTTTTGTTTTGCTTTGACAACTATTCTTTGAAGTTGGAAACAGCTAGACAGCAGAAACAGAAAACCTACTTCTAAGGAAAAAATAAACCTACACATAGAAATAATAAAATTAAGTCTAGGAGATCTAAATTCTTCTCCTAGTTATGCCAGCAGTATGATTTAAAAGAAATCACTTAATTCAGATTCTTCTTTGAATAAAAAGATACACACTTAATGTTTCATAATGAGGGCATGAGAAATAAAATTAATACATATGAAAGTACATCACTGTATACAGTGATGCAATATATTAATGATAGTGATTATTGGATGAGTAAGTTAATTCAAAAAAATATTTAAATAAGCATCTACTATGTACCAGGAACCAGCAAGATACTATGAATAAACAATTCCTGCTTCAAGAAATAATAATAAAACATCTTCCGATTTAGATTAGAAAATGACTTCCATCTTAGCATTATAAACAGTATTTAAACACAAAGGACAATGAACAAAGAAACTTTTAATAAATCAGAAGAAAGAAATATATCACATAATGAGACAAGTAGCTATAAGACAGTAAACATTTGGCTACCTTTTCTCCTCAGAGATAAAGTGTAATTTCTTATTACTGTTAAGGTACAATTATGTAAATATAGCAGAAAGAGATTTATAATAAACTATAATTAAAAAATAAATAAAAAGAAAAGCAAAAATAAAGAGATTTATAAATTTATATTTATGCTTAGAAAAGAATTAAAAAAGGATTTATTATTTCTTGCCACTATGCCAGTTTTCCCTAAACTCTACCTGTCTGGATGGTTTCCTAGCTGTTAAAATTTCTGTACTTGAACTGTATATATTAGCATGAAGTCATTATGACCACATGTGTTTTATCAGAGAGCTTATTCACATTTTCCAACATAGTTTGGAGAAACAAAATTCTGTCAACTGAAAAAACCTTGGAAAGCTTTAAATTCAAGAATGTTTCAATAGTCGTTCCCCATACAGGATATTTTCCTTATTTCCCCCCCTGAAATTATAGCATATATGCAACTAAAACCAATTTCCTCTTTTCCTGTTACTTGAACTAAACCAGTGTTTTTCAGCAGGAGATGAAATGAACCATAGGGTGCATTTTGTCAATATGAGGAGACATTAATAGTAGTCATAAAGATTTGGTGGAGTGCTATTGGCATTTAATGAACAGGAGCCAGAGATGTGAGATTTCTGCAATGTGGCAGATAATCTTACTTGGTAAAGAACTTCCTCATGTATCACTTGATTTGCCAGAGATTCATATAGATGAAAAATAGTTTATAATTTTCTGAGCTTAAAGCCTAACTCTAAGATACAAGATGGCAGAGGAGTAAGTGAAAGCTATACTATCCTCATCCCAGGACCAGTTTGGAATTACAACTAAATTTAGATTTTTCTAAATTATAAAAAATCATCCTGAATAACCAACTGAACACTAGCTGGAGAGAAGCCTTACAGAAGCCTTACAACCATGGACGGAGAGAAGAAACCACTTTGCCACAACAAGACTGGTAGGGAGTGTGAAGGAGGCATTAGAAGCTGGCTGGGCTCCCATGGGTGGCAGCTAAAGTTCCAGAGGGATGTTACAGCAGCTGGGGGTTTCCACTGAGAAGTGTGGGGTCTAAACCCCAAGGTGGGCTCCCCTAGTCTACAGAACCAGATCCAGGCAAGGAACTCAGATAACATTCAGATGTGAAAAGCAGCAGGGTTTCTGTCAGCCAGGGAGAGAAGGCTGAGACTCAGAGAGCCTCTTAAAGGACCAATGCACAAAATTTCATTTACAGCCACTTGTCCTGGGCTCCAGCAGGAGGGAAGAGTGAACTAGATAGAGATGCTTGAGGAGAGTCTAGGATTGGTGGCTCTGAGCATATAACTGAAGGAACAGCTGCCAGGAGAACTAAGAAACATTTTGGACAACATGAAGCATAACAACATCTGCTGCATCATGGGGGTACCAGAGGAAGAAGAGAGCAAACAAGGGATCAAGAACCTATTTGAAGAAATAATGACAGAAAACTCCCTTAATATAGTGAAGGGAAAAGATACACAAGTCCAGGAGGCTCAGAGAGTCCCAAACAAGTTGGATCCAAAGAGGCCTACACTGAGACTACATGGAGATGAGGCCTACACATCATAATTACAATGACAAGACTTAAAGACAATTAAAGAATACTAAGAGCTGCAAGAGAAAAGTGGGTAGTTACATACAAGAGAGTACTAATTAGACTGTCATCGGGTTTCTCAACAGAAACATTTCAGGCCAGAAGGGAGTAGTATGAAATATTCAAGATAATGAAAAGCAAGGACATATAACCAAGGCTACTTTACTCAGCAAGACTATCATTTAAAATCAAAGGAGAAATAAGGAGCTTCCCAGACAAGAACAAGCTAAAGGAGTTTGTTAATACCAAACCAGTAATGCAAAAAATGTTAAAGGACAAGCGTCCCCAATATTCCTCCTTTCAGACAGTGCACACCACTGGCATTGCTGCCTGAGCTCCTCTTCCTGTCTCATACCCCCTTTGCCATCCTGAGCTCCATCTCCTGTCTCCCCCTCCCGACTCTGGTCCAAGAAAAAATTGTGTTCCATGAAACTGGTCCCTGGTATCAAAAAGGTCAGGGACCACTGTTAAAGAGCTTGCAGGAAGAAGGAGAAGGAGAAGAAAATAGAAAAAAAGTCTAACAATTAAATGGCACTAAATACTTATCTATCAATAATCACCTTAAATGTAAATGGCTTAAATGCTCAAACCAAAAGACATAGGGTAGCTAAATGAATAAGTAAACAAGACCCACAGATATGCTGCCTCCAAGACACCCATCTCAGATCAAAAGATACATACAAACTAAAAGCAAAGGGATGGAAAAAAATATTTCATGCAAAGGGAAAAGAAAAAAAAGCTGGGGTAGCAGTACTTATATCCAACAAAACAGACTTTAAAGCCAAGGCTATAGTAATAAACAAAGAAGGACACTACATAATGATAAAGGAAACCATCCAACAAGAGGATATAACTCCAGTAAACATTTATGTACCTAACAAAGGAGCACCTAAATATGTGAAGCATATCTTGATGGACATAAAGGGAGAGATTGACAAAGATACAGTCATAGTTGGAGATTTTAACACCCCATTAACTTCAGTGGATAGATCTTCCAGGCAGAAAATCAACAAGGAGGGAGCGGCTTTAAACAACACAGAAGATCAAATGGACTTAATAGATATATTCAGAGCATTTCCCCCTAAAGCAGCAAAATACATACTTTTCAAGTGCACATGGATTGTTTTCTAGGATAGATCACAAGTTAGAACACAAAACAAGTCTCAATAAATTTAAGAAGACTGAAATCATACCAAGCATCTTTGCTGACCCCAATGCTTAGAAACCAGAAATCAATCACAAGATGAACACTAAAAAAACATGCAAAGTCATGTAATTTAAATAACATGTTATTAAACAATGAATGGGTCAAAAACAAGACCAAGGCAAATCAAGGTGTCAAAAGATAGCTTGAAACAAATGAAAATGAGGACACAAGAATCCAATCTGTGGAACACTGGGAAAGCAATCCTAAGAGGAAAACTCATATAGCATTATAGGCCTATCTCAAAAAACAAACAAACAAACAAACAAAACAAGAAAAAACTCAAACAAACAATCTAAGTTTACATTTAAAAAAACTTGAAAAAGAACAACAAACAAAGCCCAAAGTAAGCAGAAGGATGAAATAATAAAGATCAGAGCAGAAATAAAAAAAATAGAGTCTAAAAAATGATATAAAAAATCAGTGAATCCAAGAGCTCATTCACTGAAAAGATAAACAAGATTCACCTTTAACCAAACTCATCAAGAAAAAAAAGAATAAGGACCCAAATAAATAATATCAGAAATGAAAAGGTAGAAGTAACAACTGACACCAAAGAAATACAAAAGACTATAAGAAAATATTATGAACTACTATATGCCAACAAACTGGACAACTTGAATGAAATGGATAAATTCCTAGAAATATGCAATCTTCCAAAAATAAATCAGGAGGAACCAGAGAATCTGAATAGAGAGATTACACCTAGTGAAATTGAAGCAGTAACCAAAAAACTCCCAACAAACAAAAGCCCTGGACTGGATGGCTTCACAGGTGAATTTTACCAAACATTTCAAAAAGACCTAACACCTCTCCATCTCACACTATTTGATAAAATTCAACAAGAAGGTATGCTTGCAAACTCCTTTTACAAGCCCGCTATTATCCAAATTCCAAAAACTAGATAAAGACACTACAATGAAAAGACAATTACAGGACAATATCCCTGATGAACATAGATGCTAAAATCCTCAACAAAATATTAGCAAACCAA